TAGGATTTTATTTAATGAGGGTCAGCAAAATTATGTTTATCCAAAAATAACATATTTTTCACTTATCGTAGAAAAATGTATCCATTTGTCAGATGATAGATTGCAAAAATTTTCTCCCGTTCTGTAGGTTATCTGCTCGCTCGGATGATAGTTTCTTTTGCTATACAGAAGCTCTTTAGTTTAATTAGATCCCGTTTGTCAATTTTGGGTTTTGTTGCCATTGCCTTTGGTGTTTTAATCATTAAGTCTTTGCCCATGCTTGTGTCCTGAATGGTATTGCCTAGGTTTTCTTCTAGGGTTTTTATGGTTCCAAAGAACTTAAACAAATTTACAAGAAAAAAACAACCCCATCAAAAAGTGGGTGAAGGATATGAACAGACACTTCTCAAAAGAAGACATTTATGCAGTCAACAAACATATGAAAAAAAGCTCATCATCACTGGTCATTAGAGTAATGCACATCAAAACCACAGTGAGATACTATCTCATGCCAGTTAGAATGGCAATCATTAAAAAGTCAGGAAACAATAGATGCTGGAGAGGATGTGGAGAAATAGGAACACTTTTACACTGTTGGTGGGAGTGTAAATTAGGTCAACCATTGTGGAAGACAGTGTGGTGATTCCTCAAGGACCTAGAAATAGAAATTCCATTTGACCCAGCAATTCCATTAATGGATATACACCCAAAGGATTAGAAATTATTCTACTATAAAGACACATGGACACGTTGTGTTTATTGCAGCCCTTTTCACAATAGCAAAGACTTGGAACCAATCCAAATGCCCATCCAATGATAGAATGGATAAAGAAAATGTGGCATATATACACCATGGAATATTGTGCAGCCATAAAAAAGGATGAGTTGATGTCCTTTGCAGGGACATGGATGAAGCTGGAAACCATCATTCTCAGCAAAGCAACACAAGAACAGAAAACCAAACACCACACGTCACTCATAAGTAGGAATAGAACAATGACAACACATGGACACAGGGAGGGGAACATCACACACTGAGGCCTGTCAGGGGGTGAGGGGCTAGGGGGGAGTAACGGAGAAATACCTAATGTAGATGAGGGGTTCATGGGTGCAGCAAACCACCATGGCACGTGTGTGCCTATGTAACAAACCTGCACGTTCTGCACATGTACCCAGAACTTAAAGTATAATTTTAAAAAATGTATTTATGAGGTGTAGAATTCTAGGTTAGCAGTTAGTATCTTTAGCACATTGAAGATACCATTACTGGTTTCTGGTTTCTCTTACTGTTTTCTGATTAGTCAGCTGTCAATTTAATAGATGTTTCTTTGAAGGCGGTAATATCCTTTCTGAGAAATAGACTTTTCGTTTGTTCATTTTGTTTTGTTTTGAGACACAGTCTCACTCTGTTGCCCAAGCTGGAGTGCAGTGGTGCGATCTTGGCTCACTGCAACCTCCACCCTCCAGGTTCAAGTGATTATGCTGCCTCAGCCAGCCTCCCAAGTTGCTGGGACTACCGGCACGCGCCACCGTGCCTAACTCTTTTTTGTATTTTTAGTAGAGACAGGATTTCACTATGTTGGCCAGGCTGGTCTTGAACTCCTGACCTCATGATCTGCCCACCTTGGTCTCCCAAAGTGCTACGATTACAGGTGTGAGCCACTGCGCCCAGCCTCTCTAGCTGTAAGATTTTCTATTAGTTGCTCATGTTCTTCAGCTTCAGTATGATGTGTTTATGTGTGAATTTATTATTTACGCCACTTTATGGTTCATCAGACTTCATATATTTGTGGTTTGTTACTTTTTTTTAAATCTTGCAAATGCCCAACTATTACCTCTTCAGTTATTGTCTATTCTCCATATTCATGTTTGTGTTCTTATTTCTGCTGCTTTTTTTCTGGGACCATAATTCAAAGTGTTAAAAGGTCTCAGTTTTTCTTTCATTTCTCTTAACCTTTCTGCTATGTTTTACATCTGTCTGTCTTTCTATGTTGCATTCTGGGAAATTTTTTCCAAAATACCTCATACTCTAGCAGTTTAAACTTTAATTCTGTCTGATCTGTTACTGAATTGACATGACGTTTTAAATGTGGTTATTATGTTTTTACTTTCTAAAACTTCTTAGTTCTGTTAGATAAATTTTTATAGATTGCTAATTTCTGCAGAGGCTTTCAGGCTAAACTGTTTTTTTAGTTTTTTGGCTTTAAGCATAGTAAGTTTTATAACTTTTCTAGAAATTAAAATATCTAAAATTGAGGATTTGTTATATTGTTTCTATTTGTTCTTTTTTTTGATCCATTGTTTCTTTGTATGTATTTTTTTTTTTTAATTAGATGGAGTCTTGCTCTGTTGCCCAGGCTGGAGGGCAGTGGCGTGATCTCAGCTCACTGCAACCTCCACCTCCCAAATTCAAGTGATTCTCCTGCTTCAGCCTTCTGAGCAGCTGGGACTACAGGTGCATGCCACCACACCCAGCTAATTTTTGTATTTTAGGTAGAGGTGAGGTTTCACCACCTTAGCCAGGCTGGTCTTGAACTCCTGACCTCATGATCCACCCGCCTTGACCTCCTAAAGTGCTGGGATTACAGGCGTGAGCCACTGCGCTTGGCTGTATGCTTTTTGTCTTTGCCTATATACTGCTCATTGTCTTTGAAAAATTAACAGTAAGAATTGTTGAATAATACAGGCTGAGGTTGCCTACCTCCAGAGAGGATTTATGTGTGCTTCTGCCAAATATACCAATTTGGGACCATTTAACAACTTGAGGATGTATGGACCACCCTGGTGATGTGAAAATTGAGCTGCAAATCCTTGTGAAGGATAGTTTATTTCTTTCCTCCCATACCCTGAGAGTGTATCTCCTTAGGGATTCGGTTTAATGAAGGAAAGTTCTCATGTCGACTCCCCACCATAGGTGGACCCTGTCTTTGATATCTTGTTCAACTATCAAAACCAAATTTCAAATTACCTGCATTAGCAGGTACCCTTAAGACAAAAGTAGTTCCCATTTTCCCTTCCATTTTGGCCTGACAGTTTGTTCAAGCTTCTCAGTTCTTTGTTGCCTTTTGGATATATTTAATAATTCTTTTACCTAGAATTTTCATTTCTTTTCTATGGGAGGGTTGGTCTAATCATCTAACTCACGGTTTCTGAAAATGCAAGTACTGTATCACATAATTGTTTAGATTTTTTTAGTAATCACATTTTTTATCATTTTTCCTTTATTCTGACTTATCCCTAAACCATAATTATCCTCTTACGTGTTATTCTAGTAGTTTTATGGTTTTATTCCCATTTAAATCTCTAGTGTCATCAGAATTCATTGTTGTATGTGGTTACTGTAATTCATGTTTAGATCTGTCACCTGAATCCAATATCTTAATTGTATTTCAGGAACACTGGACATCAAAAGCTATTCTGCATTTCCAGAAGTTGTGTGGTTTGAAGCCATTAGTGGGGGTAGTGGATGAATATGTAGATGGCATCCTTAACATTTTTTTGTGTGATACATCCTCAAATGAAGATATCTATTTCCATCATGTCTTAAGAACAGAGGGCCATGCTATTGTATGCCGAGAAAATGTCTCTTCTAAGGTGGAGTAGTCTGAATGTATTTTGTAATATAGTTTGTTTAATTTCACCACTTCAAGGTATAAGATAATTTAATAAAGAAGTTTATTTGGTTTATTCTTTAACCAGTTAGAGACATCTATGAGATTCCTGGCTTTTTAATGCAGAGCACTCTTAATTTTCAGATGACCACTGAAAGACTGCATCTGACTAATTGTCATTTGAAATGTGAATATTTTTATTTTCAATAATTAATTTAAAAAATATTTAGTTCTCTGAAATTGTCCTAGAGAATCACAACCCTCCTGTTTTGCAGTTATCGATAACGATATACATTTCACTGTTACGTTGATAATTTTTCAAACAAAAAGCGTCAATATGGAGACGTTTTTAACTATTAAAATTCAGAAGATAATATACTTCCATAGCATTTGAAAGTTAAGTGCTTTCTCACCTTTTTTCTGTTGGTCATGTAAATTAAAGTATCCCTTTTCTTTTTTCAATCTTAGGGTTTCGGTGAGCTCAACCCTTTAGCTTTATACACAAAATCCAGTGGAGGGCCAGAGGACATTGTCTTGACAGAACTGGGTTATCCTTCCCAGCAGCACTATTTTAATGAAGACCGAATGATAAGTCCACAGTCAAAAGAGAGTGAGTTACATATCCTGGTAAGAGATTTTTGCAAATACTATTATAATTCTTTTACTTTAATCCTTATTTTTTTAAGATGAAGAAACTAAGGCTTTCCAAATTTTGGAAAGTTCGGAAATTTTGCACGGTGATCTTAACAATTTGTCTCTTTATTTGCTGGCTTAAATGTTTGCTTCAGTCGTGCTTCCTCCTGAACAACTGCTCTCATACGCTTAAGTTTATTGCTGTCTTTGTGCAGTTGTGACTTCACTACACTGACTCTGAATGCTATACTTCTTCCCTCTGCAGTACACAGGTTCTTCGGGTATTCTTGTTTCTTACTCTCCCTATAAACTTTCAGCAATTCCTCCCTTCACAGTAATGATATTATAATATCACTATTATGTATTTTTCCAGCTCATAGTAATAAGAATAACAGCATTATTTATTGAACTTATACCACATGGCAGGCACTGTTAAAAGCATTCATATGTGTTAACTAATTTAATCTTTACAACAACTTATCAGGTTTGTACTTGCATATCTTCGTTATAAAGACAAGTTGTACATCTCTAGTGCAAAAATCCAAAACCTGAAATGCTCCACAATCTCAAAATTTGTAAGTGCTGACATGATATCACAAGTGGAAAGTTCCACACCTAACCTCAAATGACAGGCTGTAGATAAAATGCAGTCCAAACTTTGTTTCATGCCCAAAATTATTTAAAAATTATATAAAATTATCTTCAAGCTAGGCATATTACATAGATAGAAACATAAATGAATTCCATGTTAGACTTGGGTCTTATCTCCAGGATATCTCATGTATATGCAAATATTTCAAAATCCAAATTCTGAAACACTTTTGGTCCCAAGCATTTTGGATAAGGGATACTCAGTCTGTAAAAGGCAAGTGAAGCACATAGTGAGAACTTAATGTTTCTTGAGCAAATAAATCATGTCCTCCAAGTCTTATATTCCTCATGACAACAGGTGCCGGGCTAAGAATACAGGATGTGTTTAACTTGAAGGCCAAAATGTTTTGTTTTATTGATACAATGTCTTTTTATTTTTTTCGATAAAATGTAAAGGTATTATTTAGTGTGTTCCAGATATCTGACTTTGAAAATAAAATTATAGAGATGATTTTTTAAGTAGACATTTACTAATTGTTAGAATAAAGGGCATTTTGACTACTGGGAGATTAACCTGTTATGAAATATATGTACAGATGTTTCATACTGCATGTTCAAAACAATATAAAGATTTTAGATTTCTAGTAAATGTTAAAATTAATTAAGCTTGTATGCCCAACACTTTCTGAAGCCTGAATTTTTCTTAGTCATTGACACTGGATTAGAAGAATTACATTTCTTCATTCTTAAATAGTAAATTGAATTCAGCCTTTACTATTTTTAGAATATCCTATCACTCTGTTAGTGTCTTCAGTTAGTCATAGTTTTATCCTGGAGATGAAATAAGAACAATCTTTTCTGCAAAAGAGAAAGGGCTTAAAATTCTATCCCACCCCAGTCTGTACTTTGACATATTAAGACTCCCATATGCTACACACACACCTACACCTCTACACCCCGTTCCTTGTGAATTTCTACTCATCTTTTGTTACCTTCTTCATTACATCTTCTCAGATGTCCTCTTCTGTCAGTCATATTTTGGTCATATTTTTGTAATGGCTGTACTCGGAAAACTGATTCTAGGTCTTCCCACAATATATTTTAGTTCCATTAGAGCTGGAATCTATTGCATTCATCTTTGTATTCACAGACCTGTCTTGTAGACATTTCAGAATAAGGGCTCAGTGGATGTTCATTGGCTGGAACTAGTGTAGCAGGATGGGAAGACCTGGGATCATGATGGATAAAGCTGTAAAATAATGTTGCATTTGTATTATGCAAAACAATGTAGCAAAAACTTCGCCCCAAAATGTATAGGCAGGTAGATTTTGGAAGCAGCAGTAATATTGAAAATAAAGTAATTATCTTTCATATTTACTAGCAAGATATTAATGATGAAAAGTCTTTAAGTCATCTGAAATCTGAGCCAAAGGAGCCATTAAAGGATTCTGAATTTGATTCTTTGAAAACCTGTGATAAGAGCTTTGAAGAAGATCCAAAGTGGTCCAACCCAGAGCCAAAGGATCTGAAGGAAGAAAATGAGGTAGGTGAAGGAAAGTTAGTCTTTGACTATGTAATTTATAATACACTGAATTCATAAGTGAATAGGACTGCAATAAACTTCCTTTAAACCCCACTGATTTTAATATTACAAATTCTTGGGCCAGGCGCGGGGGTTCACACCTGTAATCCCAGTACTTTGGGAGGCTGAGGTGGGCGGATCACTTGAGGTCAGGAGTTTGAGACCAGCATGGTCAACATGATGAAACCTTGTCTCTACAAAATAAAACAAAAAAATTAGCCAGCCATGGTGGCACGTGCCTGTAATTCCAGCTACTCACGAGGCTGAGGCATGAGAATCCTTGAACCCAGGAGGTGGAGGTGGCAGTGAGCTGATATCATGCCAGTGCACTCTGGCCCAGGTGATAGAGTGAGACTCTGTCTCAAAAAAATAAAAATTGTCCATAGTAACCAAAACCAAAGTTATAACAACATAACCTTGATCACAAAGATACCTGGCTTTGATGTGTTAGTTAATAATCTTGTGGCTTGGGGTGGTCTTCAAGAATTATACAATGATTAGAAACTATTCTTGGGAAATTATATTATGAAAAACCCATTGGGACAAATGTTTATTACTTTTTTGGAGGATGTATTTTTGTTTTAATCAAATGCTTATGTACCCAAAACTTAGGATCCCCCATGACCCCTTCCCCTACGTTTCCTATTTCCCAGAGCATCCATGTTTCTCTCTTTTAGCTGCTTTTGGAATTTACTTCTGTTTGTTTCATTAAATAACATCCTAATGTTATTACTTCCTGATTTTTCAGTTTTAAGTATCTATGGATTTTCCACTATCAAAGATGAGGGTTTAGTTTTCTTTCATCACCTTACCACCACCACATACAAACATAACCTTTTTGTCCCTTCCCCTTACCATCTTACTGATACAGTGTATCAAACTTTTCATCAGATTACTATTTAATATTTACATTACAGTGACTATGTAAATGCTTTTCACAGCTTGGCCAAGTATTATTGTATACTATTACATCATTTTTTTCCTTGTATAACTTCTATTTTCTTTCATGTTAATATTTTTCTTTTATAATAAATTAACATATAGTAAAATTGACTTTTTTGGTATACTGTTCTATCAACTTTAATAAATATGTAGATTTGTATAACCAGCACTGCAGTTGGATGTAGAACAGCTCCATTATCTAAAGTAACTCCCTTGTGCTACCCCTTTGTAATCAGTCTTCCCACATCCCTAACCCCTAGCTACTGGTCTGGGGTCTATTTTGTGTCACTCTAGTTTTACCTTTTCAGGACTGTCATGTAGGTAGAATCACACAGTCTGTAACCTTTGGAGACTGGCTTCTTTCATTCAATATAATTCTGTACCTTTGAGATTCTTCCAAGCTCTTGTATATATAATATGTTCTTTTTGATTGCTGAATAGTATTTTATAGTATAAATATACCACAGTTTATATACCAGTTCACCTATTGAAGGATATTTGGATTGTTTCCAGTTTAGCATATTTATGAATAGAGCTGCTATAAATGTTCGTGTACAGGTTTTTGTGTGAACATAAGCTTCATTTATCTAGAGTAAATACCCAGGAGTAAGATTGCTGGATCATGTGATAAGTGTATGTCAAACTTTTTTCCAGAGTGGCTGTACCATTTTTCATTTTCACCAATAATACATGAGTTCTAGTTGCTCCATTTTCTTGTCAGCACTTGACATGGTTAATAATTTTCCTTTAGCCATTCTAATAGGTGTGTAGTAGTATCACAGCATGATTGTAAATTCTGTTTCCTTACTAACTAATGATGTTGAACATCTTTTCATGTGCTTAGTTGCCGTCTATATGCAATTCTTGGTGAAATGTCTATTGAAGTCTTTTCCTCGTGTTTTGATTGGGTTGTTTTCTTACTCTTGAGTTTTGAGAGTTCTTTATATATTCAGGATACCAGTTCTTTGTCAAACAATGTGATTTTCTCCCAGTTGTAGTTTGTCTTTTCATTCTCTTAATAGTGTCTTTCATACAGAAGTTTTTAATTTTGGGAAAACCTATCATACCAACTTGTTTTCTGTTATGGACAGTGTTTCCAATGTCAAGACATCTTGAGTTAATTTAGCATGAAATTTAGGTCAGGTTTCATTTTGTTACATGTGGATGTCCAATTGATCCAGCATCCTTTGTTGAGAAGGTTATCCTGTCTCCATTGAATTTCCTTTGAAGCCTTATCAAAAATCAGTTGTCCATATTTCTGTAAGTCTATTTCTAGACTCTGTATTCTTCTCCAGTGACCTATATTTATGTGTCTTCATCACTACCACATTGTCTTGATTACTGTAGCCTTATATAGTACAGCTTAAAATCTGGTAGTATGATTCCTATTTTATACTTCTTTTTCAAAATTGTTGTAAATATTTTGGTTCCTTTTTCTTTACTTGTAAATTTTAGAATTAGCTTCTCTATGCCCGAGATTTTGATTGGAGTTGTGTTATAGAGATAATTTTGAGGTAAGTTGATACTTTAGTTCATGAGCATGGTGTATCTCCCTAATTTATTTAGGTTTTCCTTTATTTCTTCAACAGTGTTAGAATTTTTAGTATATACAATTTGTACATGCTCTGTTTTATACCTACATATTTCATTTATTTTGAGAGCTATTATAAATATTTCCCCAGTTTTTGTATTTTAATTGCTAGTATATAGAAATTAGTTTTTAACTAGCTAGCCTCACTTATCAATTTAGGGGGTGTTTTGTTGATTCCTTTTGTGATTTTCTATATCAGTAATGTTGTCTGCAAATTAGGGTTTGCAAATCGATTTCTGTTTTCATGAGATACTGGTCTGTAGCTTTCTTCTACTGTCTTTGGTTTTTGTACTAGGTAATCCTGGCCTCATAAAATGAATCTGGAAATGTTGCCCCCTTTGCTATTTTCTGATAAGGATTATGTAGAATTGTATTTCTTTTTTATTTATTTTTTTTGTGTGGATCTTTATTTTCTTTTTTTTTTTTCCCCATTTATTTTATTGCATTTTAGGTTTTGGGGTACATGTGAAGAACATGCAAAATTGTTGCATAGGTACACACGTGGCAGTGTGATTTGCTGCCTTCCTCCCCATCACCTACATCTGGCATTTCTCCCCTTGCTATCTCTCCCCAGCTTCCCACCCCCCACCGTCCCTCCCCTATTTCCCCCCAACTGACCCCAGTGTGTAGTGCTCCCCTCCCTGTGTCCATGTGTTCTTATTGTTCAACACCCGCCTATGAGTGAGAACATGCGGTGTTTGATCTTCTGCTCTTCTGTCAGTTTGCTGAGAATGATGGTTTCCAGGTTCATCCGTGTCCCTAAAAGGACACAAACTCATCGTGTTTGATGACTGCATAATATTCCATGGTGTATATATGCCACATTTTCCCTGTCCAGTCTATCATCGATGGGCATTTGGGTTGGTTCCAGGTCTTTGCTATTGTAAACAGTGCTGCAATGAACATTCGTGTGCATGTGTCCTTATAGTAGAATGATTTATAATCCTTTGGATATATACCTAGTAATGGGATTGCTGGGTCAAATGGAATTTCTATTTCTAGGTCCTTGAAGAATCGCCACGCTGTCTTCCACAATGGTTGAACTAATTTACACTCCCACCAACAGTGTAAAAGTGTTCCTATTTCTCCACATCCTCTCTAGCATCTGTTGTCTCCAGATTTTTTCATGATCGCCATTCTAACTGATGTGAGATGGTATCTCAATGTTGTTTTGATTTGCATTTCTCTGATGACCAGTGATGATGAACATTTTTTCATATGTTTGTTGGCCTCATGTATGTCTTCTTTTGTAAATTATCTGTTCATATCCTTTGCCCACTTTTGAATGGGCTTGTTAGTTTTAAGCTATGTATTGACGGAACGTATCTCAAAATAATAAAAGCTATTTACGACAAACCAACAGCCAGTATCATACGGAATGGGCAAAAACTGGAAGCATTCCCTTGAAATGTGGCACCAGACAAGGATGCCCTCTCTCACCACTCCTGTTCAATATAGTACTAGAAGTTCTAGCCAGAGCAATCAGGCAAGAAAAAGAAATAAAGGGTATTCAAATGGGAAAGGAGGAAGTCAAATTGTCTCTATTTGCAGACAACATGATTGTATATCTAGAAGACCCCATCGTTCAGCCCCAAATCTCCTGAAACTGATAAGCAAGTTCAGCAAAGTCTCAGGATACAAAATCAATGTGCAAAAATCACATGCCTTCCTATACACCAATAACAGACTTAAAGGGATCTTTATTTTCTTAGTTTTTTTGTTTTGTTTTGTTTTGTTTTTGTTTTTGTTTTTTTTGAGATGGAGTTTCGCTCGTTACCCAGGCTGGAGTGCAGTGGTGCGATCTCGACTCACCGCAACCTCCACCTCTTGGGTTCAGGCAATTCTCCTGTTTCAGCCTCCTGAGTAGCTGAGATTACAGGCCATGCCACCATGCCCAGTTAATTTTTTGTGTTTTTAGTAGAGATGGGGTTTCACCATGTTGATCAGTATGGTCTCGATCTCTTGACCTCGTGATCCACTCACCTCGGCCTCCCAAAGTGTTGGGATTACAGGCATGAGCCACCACACCGGGCTCTTAGTTTTTTAATTGACAAGTAAAATTGTGTATATGATGTACAACATGTTTCAATATATACATGTTTCAGTATACATTGTAGCATGTATGAGTCAAGCTATTTGGCATATGTATTACCTCACATATTTGTTATTTTTGGGGGTGAAAACAGTTTTAAAAAATCTCTTCTGGCAATTTTTAAGTATACAATATGTCTCCATTAACTGAATTTACCAAGATGTATAGCAGATCTCTTGAACTTACTCCTCCTGTCTACTGAAATTTTGTGTCCTTTGACCAAAATCGGCCCAATTCCTCCCCCTCCTACCCTCTGGTAACTGCTATTTTATTCTGCTTTTTCAGATTCCACGTGTAAGTGAGATGGCGTGCGATATT